TGTCTGGTCCTGTCTGTCTGGTCCTGTCTGTCTGGTCCTGTCTGTCTCTCTCTCTCTCTCTCTTTCTCTCTTGCTTTAAAGCTTTCAGCATGGTGTCCTTAAAATCATTTGTGTTTCTTCAATACTGGTGCTTCCCAGACCAAAACTGTGCCGGAAGGATCTCATGATCTGAACGCCAGGTGGCCAAGCATTTGGGTGTGGGCATCAAGGTCTTTCAGCCTGCGGCCCGGAGTCGTGATGCCCGCAATCACCGAGCTTTTGTATGTGGTGAGGAGCATGTTGTGTTTTGTTGTTGAACTCCGATTGTCAGACCAGACAAGCTCGGGGTGAGGAGAGAAGATAAGAAAAGGATAGAAAAGGTGTACGCGCCCCTTGGCACCCCAAGCTTTTTTGTACCACCTGGCTAACTTCCACATGTGTCCACATGTTATTTTGGGTCCTTTTTTTGGCATCGTCCGCTTCTTTGCTGCTATATACTAAAGACGACCGACCCAGCGGAAGAGTTTGGGAATTCCGCTGATTGGGCGGTGTGCAGATTCGGCTGACCCAAGCAGCAATTCGACCGATTGAGGTTCGGAGTGGTGGGCTATGACCTTTTGCTGAAGAGGTGAACCGGGGGTAGAGGACTCTGCTAGGAGCAAAGGGCATCGCTACAAACGGAGCAAGGACGCTACTAGGGGCTCCTGGCCTTACTACTATAGGAACAAGGGCGGTACTAGGAGGTTTTGGGCCCCGGCGATCAGTTGTTTTTTCCACCGAGCTGGCAGCCTCCAGGCTCGAAGCAGGCTGAAGGATCCCATAAGGTTCGTGGAACGGCCATCCAGAATCCCATTGGGTTTAAAGGAACATCAAGGCAAGAAGTGAATACCATTGTGTAGAAATTCTCTTAATAAGAGTCACTCAGTGATTGCAGGAACTTAGTCAAAATTGTGTAGAGTTGTTCTAAACAGGAACATCCTGGCAAGAAACATCTTCCCTGGCAGTAGATTTTCGTCCCGACAGCACAGCAGGTCGGTGTCATTGGCCGAGCCCAAGTTGTTGTGTCACGGCCCCTGGGGGATCGAGTGCCGAGCCGGACGAAGTGGAGATCCGTTATTCTTTACACTATGCTACGGTCAATGTGTGTTGGTTAGGTTTGGGTATCGCATCCTCACTTTTGGAGATCTCAAAGCACCATTTGGACTCACTCAGGGTTGTCCACACAGCATCGTGGCCGCTGGTGGCCAAGGCCATCCGTGTGAAACAAACGTTTCCTAGTTGCCTTCCCAAGCAGCATCTTCTTTTGCGGTAGCGAACTACTTTCGCCAACCCTTTGCGAGTGAATCCAGCGAATCCTCCACGGCCATGAGTTTTATTTCTTTACACGCAAGATGTTCGCATCGGTTTGGGCTCAAGCCTTGACGGTCAAGTACGCATGACTGAGTTATGGAGCAAGCATGTAGGAGTGGGGGAGCAGATTTCAGAGAACAAAAGAGAGCTCTCCTCTCAGTGGACCTCCTCCGGCCAAACGAAGCACCCCCTCCTTCGGGGGGTTCCCAGATTTGCGGACATCAGTGCAACGTGGGGGAAACTTCACCTACTTCACCTAGACCCTTACATAGGACCGTCCATCCTAGCTTCTGGCTCGTTAGATATTGCAGGTGTTGGGTGTTCTAGACGAGATTTTTCGACGCGCCGAGGTCGGTCGCGCCTCACTTTTTCATGAAAGGTTGGCATGGTCTGAGCAAAACCATTTCAACAACTAATTAAGGGCAGAGTCACTAAATGAAAGAGCTTCTTCTTGAGCAGAAAGCTCAGGCTTCTGGCATAAAGAATGCTAATGATCCATTAACATAATGAACTGAACAAATGTCTGACCCATAGTTCAGGCTGATGGCACCAACCTCCAGACTGTTTCGACATGGACTAAATTGTCAAGGGCAGAACTCAATGAAGTCAGTATACCAGGAACCCCAGAAGGTCTGAGACAACAACCCAAAAGGCGCAAAAGGTCTGAATCCAGCACCACCCAGTTCGGGTGGTGTTTCTTGCCCCCCTCACCATGTGTTTTCCAAGAACCATCCGAACTGGGTGCTGGACTCCAGGCTTCGCGCCCACCTGAAATCCGAATCCACCGGATCCGATTCGTTTGTGAATTGGCGCCTTTCTGTGAGCTGATCTTCGTGTATGGTGCAGGCGCGATGTGGCCGGCAACAGCGAGAGAAACACAGTCATAAAAAATTGGACCGGATTCTAGGTGATGGTTTCGGAATGTTTCGATGTTTCTTTTTCCACCCTTACTTAGGGATGATTATTGGACCTCTGACTCATATTTTTTGCGTGGGTTGAAAACACCAACCAGAGATTGTGTGCTTCGAGTCTCGGGGAGTCCGAGTGCTCAACTATACCTTTTCGATTTCATCTCCAGTTGGAGAGGTTTCATTCTCATATGGTGGGTCTCGGAGTTCGGGATCAGATCCGGGTCTCTCTCCTTTCGACAAATCTGATCCGGTGCACATCCACCTCTGCCAGAGATCAGCTGGAACTGCGGGAGCGGTAGACACAACATCCGGTGCTCCAGCAAATGGCGGCAGCCAGAATTCGTGTGTATGTTCATAGGGAGATGCGGAGGCCGCTGGGTCGACCGGCCTATTTCCCGATCCTGCCAGGGGAACTGGTGTTTGTCTAGACCCAATTTGAATGCCACACGTGACTAGTAGCTTCCAGCTACTACCCAAAGCTCCCGAATCTCCAGGCTGGACAAGACCAAGAGCTGCTTCTGAAAGGAGCCCTGGCGTGAGGGAGTGGCACAGTGGAGTGGGGGGGCGGCTGCCGAGGGTTTCTTGTTTTTTTGAAAAGGATGGTGTGGGGCTACACTCATTTGGCTTCAAGACGTGGTAAGGCCAAAATTGGACTCCAGGAATATCGACGTCGATGAAAAGCTGAGTTCGTTTTGGGGTTTCACCATCTTTCACCACGGTTGACTGAGAATCTGACAAGAATGAATTATTCCGTGTTCGCAATCGGCCAGTGACCGGAGGGACGTTTCGCAGCATGTTGCCTGAGTACCGTTCAGCCTTCCACAGGACCTTCCCAGTTGGGCAACAGAGGACTTTCGCGGAAAGAAGACCGGTTTGAAGGCCGGGGCCGGTGTGCAGGTGGTCTCACACCTGCATTGAGAGAATAAAAGCACTCATAAGGCACTTGTTGTTTTTTTTGGATGTCCTTTCCCATGGGGCCAAACCCCCAGGGAACCAAACCGGCGCCCATGGGAACCGATCGGCGCAGGGTGTCGGAACCGCGCATGCCGTCCGTTCACCGCGTGTTCGCGTGTGTCCGTCGCATCCGATGGGCCCGGCTCGACCCTCGGAGCGCGCGGGGGTCACGGCAGGTCACTTGATCCATCTCAACGGTGCACGGTCGCTGCTGTCCTTGTGGATCTTGGCGGATCACTTTACCCACGGGGCGACGCGGCCGGGGTGGATGAGTGTCGACCCTTCTTTTCAAAAACACCGGTGCGTTTGGTGTTCCTTTCCGGTAGACAGGGCAGGAACTGTGCGTTTGGGGTTCCTGGTATGATGCCATACGCTTGGTCACGTCCAAAAGGTGTATGATGGGGAAGGATCTATTTCATGAGGCATGTGGTTCTTTAGTGGGAGATTCCCCTATCGTCGGTGTACTATGCTGCGAAGACATCGAGCTGCCAAGATGAACGAACATTGTTCTTGGTTACCGATGATTGAAACATATTGAAACTGTACTACAACAGACTCTCTATGGTAGGAAGCTTTCGAGCATGGTACTGGTACACCAAACACATCCACACATTTGGCGCGTTTGGACGACGCACAAACTCATCCTCTTGAGTTCATTTCGCCGTTTCGCATGGCGCTAACAAAAGCCGAACATCGGCAGAAGCAAAACACGTTCAGCATGTGCTTGGTGCTTGTCCCCAAATCAGATGAATTCTTCCAGACCTGTGTTTGCATCATTCCTGGTGATTCTTGGGACGGATGAGTCTGATCTGTTTCTTCAGCTCGGTGGTCGCTCATGTGGCAGCAACCTCGGCCGCGCGCATGCCGCGCATGCGAGGCGAGTGTCTTCACGGACCGGGCCAATGTGGCCGTGAATTGCTTCGTGATGATGAGCCGCTTCGGTGTTTGGTGTTCCGACTGCTGGGCCGACTCAGGGTGTGCGAGCGAACAGGTGTGTGGGTTCGCCAGCATGTATTTCAAGCGGAGATTGGTTGAGTGTTTGGAGAGTTTGGGAGGTTTGAGATGGCATGACTGGGGTGTTTGCTTTTTGGTTCTTGATGGTTTGGTGGAGTGGAGGAGATTTGGGGTGTGTTTTCCTCAGACACCTTTGTAGACTTTCGGCTGTCTGGCAACATGCGAAGCAAATAGAACCACCAATCTCGAATAATCTCGATGGAGAAACTTAATCGAGATTATAACATTAGACCTAATATTACCTTTATCCTCCAGTTATATAGATAATATTAGACTATATTAGGTTCACCATGGTTCACCAATCTCCCCACCAAAGAGAACGAGAGGCACGATTGACCCACATCAGCACTTCACCTCCATGTGTTCTTTTTGTCCCCAGATGTCCCGCTGCGAAGCTCGCTGCGAAGCTGGCTCAGGTGGTTTTGTGACACAGTGGGCCTATGGTTCTCGAGAGCTTTCGCACCTAGGGCAGCCATGAGGTGATTGGTCTTGCCTCCACCGTAGTAGCGATGGCCTCCCTGTTTGAATGATCTTTCTCATGATGTTTCCTGTGACAGAAGCATGTCGTTTCAGGAACTTTACCCCATGTCGAAGCCACCAGCATGTCGGTACTGATGAGTGACCAATCATCATCCCCCAGCTGATGCGGATGGGATCTCTCGCCTAGCAAAGATGCCAAGATAATTTACAGTAAAACCCGTGGCTTAAAGGATCTTAAAGGCTGTGGTCATTGCAATCCTGGCTGGCGTGATCCATGAAGGTATACCTCGCGACCCCAAGGTATACCCTTGGCTTGGACCCACAAACCTTGGCCATCGGAATTCGATCTTCCCAGCACTCCCCCATCAAAAAGATCTCAACGTAAAGCAAAAACGATATGAGCGGCAGCATCCTCCTTCCCTATCTTCGTGCGCACACACACACAACAGGGAGGTAGTGACAAGAAATAACAATACAGGGCATCCATGTCTTGTAATTGGAATGAGTAGAATTTAAATCCCTTTATGAGTATCAATTGGAGGGCAAGTCTGGTGCCAGCAGCCGCGGTAATTCCAGCTCCAATAGCGTATATTAAAGTTGTTGCGGTTAAAAAGCTCGTAGTTGGATTTCTGTTGAGGATGACCGGTCCGCCCTCTGGGTGTGCATCTGGCTCAGCCTTGACATCTTCCTGAAGAACGTATCTGCACTTGATTGTGTGGTGCGGTATTTGTTCTGGGTGCTTCCAACCGCACGGACACCGATGGACGGACACCGGCGGACTGAGGAGCTGCGGCTCCGTGGCCCAGTACCTGGTGAGGTGGGGCGTCAACATGTCGTACGTAGCGTCCGTAGCGTCCAAGCCATTCCACGGCTGCGAATGGGGAGAATGGGGCGAAGATCTGTGGTCTTGTCTCGGGACACATCTCTTCGAACGAAGGCAGGCCCACCGTCCTGCCGGGCACTCGGCCCCTCGTCCGGACTCGGCCCATCGTCCTTCCCAGGCGACTGGGGAAGGTGGCGCTGACCACATGGCTGGCCATGTTGGCGGCTGCTGCACTGCTGAGTGTCACCGCACAACAGCCGCCGGCCAGGAGACGAAGGGGCGAAGGTTTGGAGGTCAAGGAGGTTTTGGGGTTTTGGTTGCTTTCCTGTGGTCATCCTGAAGTACAGTGACCCCTCAAAGAGATATAAATCCTATTGCCATTAACAGTAACATGTCTAGGAAACTGCTGTTTTTTTGGACGATAGATGAGATGTCAATTTGACTCATGTCACAGCCCAATGTATACAGGTAGATCATAGGTCAGGTGGCTGGATTATACCAAATCCTTTCATGGACCAGCAAAGGAGCACG